TTTAATATTCTTAACATCCTCTGAGCCAGGGCGCTATCGCACCACATTCTCACTTCAAACGTTTTCAAAGGTCCATGAAAAAAGCAGCCCGCGACACCCACTGTTACCATTACAGATTTATTCAGAGCGGCAATGCGTACCTCCCTGGCCGGGGCGGCATTGATTTATGTACTGGGGTGGGGGTACGATTGTTTATAAGTCGGTTGGGGCATATGCATTACTGAATATGTAGGGGAGGGCATCGCTGGGATCAGAGGACGACAGCAAAACTCTTTCCTGTGATTGAGGAAAAAGCTGCAATCAGTAATGACACACAATGAGCGTGCCAGCATGCAAACATAAACATGTGAATTTCATTACGATTTTACATGTACTGTATTCACTCGTGTATAAGTATAATTCATGTATATTATAAGTCTCACCTCATATTTTGCATTGAAAAGTTGGTACAAACATTGGTACATTAATAAGATATTATACATTCCTGATAATATGATATGCACTGAACCAAAAGACGACATTAACGGCTCATAGATTGCACAAGTAAAAATTGCTTCTTGTTGCCCGACAGGACAACCAGATCTGAAAATAAGCGTCAAGGCCTGAACAGTATAACTGTCAGTATGCCTAAATTGTAAACTGTATGTTTATCTGTGACGTAGACGAAATCATGCGCCGACCACCGATTCATTGAAAGAAAAAATTATATACACTCACTCAGTAGGCCTATTACTATTACTATTAGTATTAGTATTACGTGCACTTGACTTTTCACTTACAATTTACATGATACTGATAGAAAGGTTTTACAGCTACTAAGAATGTCTACGCATGTCTGCAGGTATTCTTAATGTATTTACTGTTTGATATCGGCCTACTACTACTAGCTCTAGTACTATAGCCCGCGTTCATTAACTGCCGCAGGACAGTGACGCCTGCAGCAGTTAATGAACGCGGGCTATAGTACTAGAGCTATAAGCCTACATGCTTGAAGATACAGTCGTTGTGATAATCAAACTAAATACACACCTTTTCACACAATGTTTTCACTTGATTTTCGGTCAACTGTTTGCATTCATTCAGTTGTTCTATCCATTGATCCAGTTCCTTCAAATGCGCCTTTTCCTCCATATTTCCTGAAATTCTTATATAACACAGCTCGTTCTTATTTAGTTAGTGATATGGCACGACTGACAGTTAGCGCCAGAGGTGCTGCTATTAAACACAAATAACTAAATTTACTAGTACGTTCGCATCAAACAACTACACTCCCTCGGAAAAATGGCCGCCGAAAATTTTATCGTCCCATGACGTCATATCAAAAATGTTTCTAAGTTGCCTGTAACGCATTATCACAACAATTAATATGTTTTAAACAAAAATATGACTTTCTGTAGGTTTTAATTACATATAGTACATTTTGAATGTTAAAGTACTTCAAAGTTTACATTCCAGTTTAACTTATGCTGCCATCTAGCGTTCCTTTTCTCGGCCGCCATAGTTGTTGGCCAACACATTTGTAAAGTTAGTGACACAATCCGGTGTCATCGGAACTTCACGAGTAATTGCGAGTAAGAATGACAGAGCAATTAACTCACAGGGGTACCCTTAAAGGCCACAATGGCTGGGTTACCCAAATCGCGACCACTGCGATGTTTCCGGACATGATTCTTTCGTCGTCCCGAGGTAAGTTGTTTCATGCATTTCCATCCTTAAATAATTGTAGTGCGTCAGTGGAAGTGGATTGAGTGTGATTTACTCTGCGATGCGTTCTTATGACCTACTAGATTCATACTGAAAATGACCAGTTGAGTACTTACCCTCGTGCATGTACCACGTTTTGTTTTTGTCTCAAGTTGAGTGTCAAGTTTTCATTGCTCATTCAATATGTTGTTCTTACTTCCCGCAAATACAAATTACAATCTCTGTCCACTGCCATAAACAAAACCTGCCATCGGATTTTCCTCATTCTAGACAAGACCGTGATCATGTGGAAGCTGACGCGCGACGATACGAACTACGGCGTCCCGCAGAAAGCCCTTCGCGGCCATGGTCACTTCGTGTCCGACGTCGTCATGTCGTCCGACGGCCAGTTCGCCCTCTCCGGATCGTGGGACGGCACTCTGCGCCTCTGGGATCTGAGCACGTAAGAGCCACTTGCACGCACCATTAATCCGCATCGGCAATAGTGGTATTTTTCGACGCTGTATCGTTCCCACGGCATAAGAGCACACCAAGTACATAAACAGGCTGCATTAATCCACGGCGGAGTTACGCCGTGTCGTTTGCGCGCTTCTGAATGTTGGCGCTGTTGCAGTGGACAGACGACCCGTCGCTTCGTCGGCCACACGAAGGACGTGCTGAGCGTGGCGTTCTCCGCCGACAACCGGCAGATTGTGTCGGCGTCGAGGGACAAGACCATCAAGCTGTGGAACACACTCGGCGCTTGCAAGTACACCATCCAGGTAAGCTGCGATGCACTGTACGTAGTGTTGTCAATCGGTTGTAATTTCGTAATCGATCATCGGTTGGACCCAAGTAACCGATGATCGGTTACAATCGGTTGCTCGGGGTTTTTAATGCCTGCGTGTGCGTAACGTCGTGTGCATGTACGTGTGTGCATGTATGTGCTTGTTTACTGTTTAGCCCTGTTTACTGTTTGTTTTGCACTGTTTACTACTGTGTGTATAATACATGTATGTTAATAAAGGATAACTTGTGTAGCGATGATATTTCTAATGCTCATGACTTTTTCAAATTTTTTTTTCAATTTTTTTGCGATGAAATCGATTATGGATTTTGATAACCAAGCGCTTGGTTCGAGCCACTGTTCAACCGATGATCGAGTATAATCGATGATCGTGACATCACTAACTGTACGGCACCACGCGAGTGCCTGTAAATTTTGAGCAATCGTAGTTTGGTACCCCGGCCGTCGTTTTCGTGAAATTATTTACAAAATTATTTACGTTGCGTAGACCAGAGACTAGTCAGGATGCATGCATGCCATCTGTGTCTAGTATTATAAGCTGTGTACGTATATATATATATATATATATATTTATTTATTTATTTATTTATCTATCGTACGAAAAACGGCATTAGCAAAGCAATATACTCGTATATTAAATCATGCCATCTATAATTTAATTGGTTTATATTATGATTTGCTATTGCTGTGATGACCACAGCTTGATTTGTGTGTGTTCGCAGGAGGAAGGCCACACTGAGTGGGTGTCTTGCGTGAGGTTCTCGCCTAACAACAACAATCCGATCATCGTCTCGTGCGGGTGGGACAAGTACGTGAAGGTATGCATCACATCAGCGCACATACACCTACTTCTTCTTCTTACACCTACGTTAGCTGTTAATTATGAGGGGGCGATCCTGTGTGTCTGGTAAAGGCGGCCAGGTGTGGCAGTGAATGTTGTAGAGATGGCAACCACTACGATTTATCCGTATTTTATACGAATTTTTATTACTTTTGCACCACTACGACCAGTTTGTATCAAACTACGAATTTCACTGTGATCGAAATATTTATTTTTTTTGTCAAGTATTGTCCTTTTTTGTCAATTTATTGTCATTTTTGACCCTCAGAATGCAGGAAATTGCATCTCAGAATCAAAAAAAATTTCAGGGGGCATGCCGGACCCCCTAGCAAACTCGGGTCACTACGTGACCCTTGAACTACTAATTTGATGGCCAGAAACTACAGATTGCTTCAAATATGTGTTGGCATCTCTGAATTGTTGCTGTTTTAAGTCTTTGTTGTGCTCTGCATTGTCCTTCTGTCCCTGTGACTTATATGCTTCCATATGAAATGGTTCGCGTTGGGTTTCATAACATTGTCCCACTTTGTATTGAACGTAATTAGTATAAAAGATCGAAAAGTGCACTGCAGATTTATGCATAGCTGTTTTGGTTCAGAAACTTGTTATCATAATCAATCGTAATCTTCCCAATGATTATAAAATGGCACTTAATGATTGACGGTGATTAACTAGTGTCCTGCAACATGAGGGAAGTATGAACGAAATCAATTAGGCAAGCTAAATGATATAAAATAATTTTGATTCTACGAATGAACAATTTCGCGGCAATCACACTGGTTTTGGTGAACTCTGCGTTGGGTCGTCGCACGCGTATTTACATCTTTCCTGTTCTGCTTTTGCGTTGGAAGGTGTGGAATCTCGTTAACTGCCGACTGAAGACGAACCACATCGGCCACACGGGCTACCTCAACACTGTGACCATGTCGCCCGACGGCTCCCTCTGTGCTTCGGGAGGCAAGGTAAGGAATTCTATCGCGATGTTCAAACGATCAGGGGAGACAGGTCAATCAGAAGTGCCGCCAGGTGATTCTTACCTGTGCACACCTGTGGCAGGTGTTGGTTGGAGAAGCCCGATGATTACAGACCGAGCAGACTTCGCCGTGGTGAAATTGTCCTGCAATTCTGAGGGCTGCTCCAGCGAGTACGCATTGAGGCGTGGATGTTGAGTGAGACACGCGGAGGTGCGTGAATTGCGGTTGTGATGTGCGCCCGCAGAGACGAGGAAGAAGAAGAAGACTCGGGCTGCAGTTCATACCAGCCATTTTAGACTGTCGTAAGAAAGCGGTGTCAAAGCCACGACATATCTGTCTCTGTTGCCGTCGAAAGTTAGCGAGACAAACTCGAAGATCTCAGGAATGCGCTTCAATTTGTTAAGTTTGCATAAATCGGTGTGGCAAGTGTTGCAATAAGCGTGCCAAGCGTGGCAGGAAGTGTGGCAAGTGATGCAATAAGCGTGCCAAGCGTGGCAGGAAGTGTTGCAAACAGACTCGCTTGCTTATTATCGCTCGTGGCTCGTGTGTGTGTTTGCAGGACGGCCAGGCGATGCTGTGGGATCTGAACGAGGGCAAGCACCTGTACACGCTCGACGGAGGAGACATGATCAATGCTCTCACCTTCTCCCCGAACAGATACTGGCTGTGCGCCGCCACCGGACCCAGCATCAAGATATGGGTAAGCGTTCTTTCCGCACATGGGTAAAGCCTAGCGCAGACTTGCGATTTTTGGTTGCTCGTCGCTGCAATCGCAAGCGATCGGTCGATGTGTCACCGCGTGTGCGCACACATGCGATTTCGAAGCAATTTGGGAGCGATTGGAAGCCACGAGTCGCTCAAAATCAAAACAGTTTGATTTCTTGCAACTCGTTGCAAGCGACCAGAATCGATACGGGTTGCCGTTGCACGTTACCCCGCACGCGTAGCGATTTCAACGCAATTTTTACAGCGATTCTAGAATCGCTGTCGAGTTGCATGAAAAAGTCACACGTGCAACAAAGGTGGGGACCGATAGTTTTCCTGTTCCTCGATGGGTTCTGTATGTGTCGGTAGTCAACGCAATGGCAGGGGTCCAACTTTTGAACAAGGGGGTCCAACGGACTCCCTGCCCTCTAAAAGATGGGGTCTGCAGCAAAATGAGGGAGTCCGCTGTCTGAGGTTCAAAAGTAAAGAGATTAACAATAACGCATGTGCTTATTTTGAAGATTCGTGCGGTTGCACGTCTGCCAAATTTTCTTTGGACATTGGCTGAAAAAATACGGTAATTCCGCGAGGCCGTGCTCCGGAACGAACTAGTTGGTATGGCAGTATGGCAGAATTTTCAGGGAGTTGCACGGACTCCCGGACGCATATGTCAAATCAGGGAGTATTTGACTCTACTACTCCCGTTGATTTCGCACCCTGCATTGGTAGCTTGCTGCGCACACCCGATGATTACAGACTGAGCAGACTTCGCCGTGGTGAAAATGTCCTGCAATTCTGAGGGTTGCGCCGGCGTCCACGCAAAGCCGTTAAAACAAGAAGCTAGTGATACGTGTAGCGATGGCGGGTTGAACCGGCGCGTATAAATGTTTGCAAGGAAACTTGAGGTGAAACCTAATCGTAAAATCTATTGCAGTCACGAATTTCCCCCAGGCCACCCTTAAAAAATTGTTTGTTTCCCCTTTACCTACTCGCCTCTCAGGGTACCGAGTAGGTAGGTAGGTGAAAAATCTGTTTTATTTTGTTTTAACAAGATGTGTATATGTATATTGTATATTCTGTTTGGGGAAAAGGTTTTGCCGAAACAAATATGAAGTTTTTTGGGGGCGAAACGAAATAATTTTTGTATTGTTTTAATCGGCCAATAAAATGTGTCGAGTAGCGGCGTTTGGGCGAGTCGGTCGGTAAAGGGGAAACAAGCAATATTTTATCTTAGGCCCCATAGATTTTGTGACTAGCATCTTTAAAATTTTGATTGAAATAATAATGAGTATTAAGTACGTAACCGGAACAAACTATTTCTAACAACTAATTCTGTCCAAATCCGTCCAATTCGTAATTTTTTGATTGTCTCCGTCTTCCTCGATTCAGGATCTCGAAGGAAAGGTCGTCATCGACGAGCCTTTTTTAGAGACTAAACTATTTTTGACAACTAATTCTATTCTCTAATCCGTAGCGTTCGATTATCTGATACGTAATCTTTCGATCGTCTTCCTCGATTCAGGATCTCGAAGGAAAGGTCGTCGTCGACGAGCTCAAGCCGGAGATTCTCTCCACTACGATCGGCTCGAAGACTGCTCCTCCGCAGTGCCTCTCGCTCGCGTGGTCCGCTGACGGGCAGACGCTGTTCGCAGGCTACACCGACAACGTCATCCGCGTCTGGCAGGTCACCATAGGAACCCGATAGTCGTCGTTGTCGTCGCGGCAACCGCGTTGAGTTTTGTCTCGCGCGGCGGGGAGTGGGTGTTCGGCGTGTCTTGATGAGTGTGGGAGGCAGACGCACAACGTGCTAACGCGAGTCGTCTCTGTATCGCTGGCAGTCGCCGTTGTTGTAAAATACCCGTGGCGTGTGTGCGAGAAAAATAATTATGATAATAATAAAAAAAAACATCTTCAGTGACCTAGGAAATATACGTGTTTGAGGTTTTATTGATGTGGTTTATTTCTATGAAGTGCTGCTGCAGGAATTTTTTTCGTGTTTCCAGTGAAATTCTATTATAACTGAGATGTGACAGTGTCTGGAAATGGGGAAATGTCTTAACTTAAAATATTATAAATATAATAATGCTTTCAGATTGAAATTACGGGTAAAATATCGATTTCACATACGATTCACGGGCTTATGAAGTTGTTTACAATACATTTAGTATTTTGTATATTTCATGTCTATCAACATAAGTGCTGAGATGTAGCAACTGATGGTATTACGAGTGATGGCCTTGCATACGAAAACAATCCCATACATCAGCAGTAACCTCACAATCACAATGCCAACCTCTGAATTTACGCGAAAAGTAGACTTCATTTACGGCCGCCACAGGAGTGCCTACCGGACGGGCCACCCATACTATTAGATGCATCAAGGATTATAGTTTCTGAAACTTACAATTGCAAACAGTTCTAAGCCTTTCCATAGAGAAAAATTTATTTGTGTATATTTAATACATAGACGCAGACTGCACTGACTCGAAACCATCATCTAACGCCATCTAGCGTTATTTTGTGTCGTATTTGCAACACTGTTGCAAATATCATCCGAGTTATAAAATGATTATAAGAGACCTACGTACCCTGCGGCAGTTACTGTACGCGGGCTATAGTACTAGAGCTATAAGAGACCATGCAGTTTTCCCCATACTGTAGTACGGGGGTAACTCTGGCTAACGCTCCATTAGGAGTGTTCCCAACTTTGATATAATTAATTATTAATGATTAATGATTAATGATTGATAATCCTAACCCTAACCTAACCTTAAATGACATTAAACCACAAACTAATATATGACCATATATATAGTATATATTATATTGTTATTATGACCATTATTAATGACATTAAAGTTGGGAACACTCCTAATGGAGTATCACCCGTAACTCTTCTCCTAAATGAAATATTGGTCACAATTTTGCACTCAATCTAGTAACGATATTCTTCCGACAAACAGTTGTAGCCGTTGCATTTCAATAAATAACATTAAGTATAGAGCTTGAATCTGTGGTATATTTAGCATGAATGAAGTATACATGTTGTGTGTGCGACGAAACACTGTAAGTATTTTTAATTAATTTCTGTTCGATGCTTATATCCAGCCAGGCCTGCTGCCTATGTACGCCTAGCTTCCATTGTTGTACACATTGCCACAGTACACACCACCACACATTCCATTGTTGTACACATTGCCACAACATTCCACAACATTCCCACAACATGCCACAACATTCCATTGTTGTACACATTGCCACAGTACACATTGCACACATTACAACAGTTCCATTGTTGTACACATTGTTGTACACATTGATTGTTGTATCGTTGCACATATCGATCCCTTGCTGGCACGAATCTCCCTCAATCTATCGCTACATCTCACCAGGCATGCGTTCAATGCGCTCATCAGGTATGCGTGCATCGTCTCAGGTAGCGTGCAATCGCTCATCAGGTATGCGCTGGCAGATCGCTCATCAGGTATGCGTGCAATCGTCATCAGGTAGTCAGTCGTATGCTGCAATCGCTATCAGGCATGGGTGCAATCGCTCACACGTTCATGCGCTCTCCATTGCACGCTATGCAGAAGGTATTACTGATGACGAAACCGGGCTAGTAAAATCCTGGCGTTTGTCTCCGTTTTAAAGCCGAGTCGGGGGCAATTATACGTGTAGGTATATGCTCGTCTGTTTTCCTGCCGAGTTCAAATAAACGCGCCTGGGGGGTTAATCCGCTGTTAAAGATATCATTATCTCCTGTACAAATGCAAGCGTACGTAAAGCCATAAGGTTAGTGGGTTTATTATCATCTGCAGTAGTATCTGCCGTTAGATGTGCGAACTGTTTCATATTGTGTCACCCTCCCTCTCCTCTGTACCCCGCTGTGTGTGTGTCTCTCTCTCTCCCTCTCTC